CTTTTCTATGTTCTTGTGCATGACCCATGCACAGTATATTATTGTGGGATCACATTGTAGATTTACTCTCTTGAGCCAACAAGGTACTTAGGAAGACTCCCTCGACTTGAAATTTTAAGATCCACTTTAGAATCATCGTTTTCAAAATAAAATTTCAATCTTGAAATCCAAAAATTGAGATTTGGCTGTCCAACAATTAGACAGCCTTTGCCAAGTCTTAGTATGCAAATTTTCTTGAGGCAGTTTTTTTTTTTTAATTATTATATTTTCAAAGTTGCTTGATTGGTGGAGAAGGTTACATACCCAATTTTGGGGTTCTAAAATTACTTATAAATCAAGTTTTGCGCAAAGGAGCAAATGAACAATGTACTCCCAACGGAGAATGTAACTTTTTGACTTCTAATATTTTTTTGTCGGCAGTTACATTGAAGTCAAATAATCAGACGCTTGCATTTTATTTTTGTACTTAAGCATTTGGTTGCTAGACAATATATTACACGTACATAGATTCTCATGAAATCCCCCATTTTCGTGTTTTGGGTGCGCAATACACAACAATTAGATAGAAATACATTATGCTTTAAATACATTATCATGTAAAGCCCTTAAAATCAAGAAATCCATTATTTACCAAAATAGGTGAAAAAATTGACAGGTAATCTATTCCCTGTTGGACCTGAACGAAACCCATAAATCTGGTTTGTAGGAGAATGAAGTTCTTGTTATGTTAGACATGGATAATGAAGTTCTTGTTGTTCCATCAAATCCCAAGGCGAGGATTAAACTAAAATGGACATAAAAATAGAGAGTTAGTTTAGAGCTTCTCGTTGGGTAATGCTTGTTGAAGAAGCCAGAATCTACATTTATAAATGAGCAATGGGTTATTGTAGAGGAAAAATTCAATTCCCAACTTGGGGTGAATCTGAGAAGGATGTTTTAAAAAATAAACTAATAACTTGGTCAAAAAACTACAAGACTGTAAAGGAAATAATCATAGCGGATTTGGTTGGAAAGAAGGGACAAATAGTTATTGTCGACGATTCCGTTTGGGATGACTGTGTTATACCAAATATGCAGTCTCACCCAAATGCAAAGCATTTTAAAGGAAAATCCTTGTAATATTGGAAGGAACTAAGCATAATATTCAACGATGAATATATTTAGGGTGTCAGTGCTAATCAAATAGAGCAGGAAATTCAAGATGGTGTCAAGAGACTTTGTGACACAGTAGTGGATTTAGATGATGATGGTGCAAATGAGGAAGTAGGTGATGATGAAAATGTATCAGAGAGACCCATGCAATCAAGGACAACTAGAATGACTAGCAAGCCCTCAAAGATATCAGCATCAACTATGCCAATAAAGAAGAAAAAGAAATCCATGTCTAAAACACTGGAGATAATAGTTGTAACTGTGGAGAAAACTGGAACTATAATTGAATATTTGAAATAAAACCTATGGCATACACACACATTCAAGAGGTCTTTGATGCTATTTCGAAGATTGAAGAACTCGTTCAAACAATTTTCTTATGAGCTTATAGTGAAATTACAGCAGATCTCAAGCATTTTTACGTATGCAATAGGAATATGTCATTAGCATCTACAAATAGTCGGGCCTTTCCAACCTGCCTGTCCCCTCAATAACTTGAAAATAGATTTTTATATCGGTGTTGACAGATTAATTCTCATACATGTCTAGTTAAAAAAGTGGAGATTTTTCCAGTAGTGTGATGAATATATAGGAGACACGAACTACATTGCAAAATTGAGGCGCCATCATACACCACAGTGAAGTTGCTCACAAGAATTGCAAGAATATGTACCGATAAATAGAGTACCAATGCCATTACAATAATCAAGCCTCATTAACTTGAGGAAGCTGAGACATATTTTATTTTTTTTATGTGTAACTAATGGTCCTCGTGTTGTACCCAGCTTCTTCTTTTTTATACTTATTTTGTAACTCATAATCAAATGTTGACAATATTTATCAAAGTGGATCAGAAGCTTTGATTATGATTTGGGCTTTTTGAGTGAAAGATGACATTACAATTATTCAAGTGGATTCTAAATGATAGTGTTTAGTATTATGATGTATTTGTTTTAGAGTGTAAGTAACAATTAAGTACTAATGTGTGTTGATTCTTTTCGACATATTAAGTACTTATTTATAAGTACTATGTGATAGGTTTATCACAAAAAATTTATTAACAAAGACCGAAAATGGGAAATTTATGCCGCCCATAAACACCAGCATGAGTAAACGTATTGTTTCCAAACATTATTTCTATATTTACATTTTGTTTAAACAGTATTTCTCATTCCTAAATATTAAATCCAACTAAGGGAATAAAAAAAGGGAAAATATCTCTTCCCTTAGTTTTAGATTTTATTTCTTGATAAACCCAAGGTTTCAAAAGATATCTTCTAACACCCTAGCCACTTTAAATATATTTTTTAACCTAAATCCAATCCTTTCTCTCTCTTCACTTATATACCCCAAACTTCTCTCTTTCTCTCGCTTCCCACATCTCTCTCCTCCCAGTAACCTCTCACCTCCATGAAGCCCTTCTCTCTCTCTCTAGAAGTTTGGGAGGCTAGCTTTTAAAAAAGACATGTCTTTTTAGATTTGTTTGTCCTAAAAAAATATATTTAAATTAGCTCAGGGAGTTAGAAGAAATAAAATCTACAATTTTTATGTCTCAAGATATCTTTTAAAACCTTGGGTCTATTGTGAAATGAAACTTAAAAATAGGAAGTATTAAGATATTTTCCCTAAAAAAATATTACAATAGATAAAGTATATGAAATGAATTACTTACCAAAAAAAAAGAAAAGTATATGAAATTATCCCAGCAAAAATAAAGGTAATTGTATAGGTAAACTATGAATGCTGTTTAAATCTTTCTTCTAGACATAGCCAAATGATAGTAATGTATCTCCCAAGTTGAACTACCTAAATAACAAAAACCTATTTTTAGAAAATAAATTTGGCTAGTAATATATTTATACAATACATTTCTAGGTACCAAATGGCCCCTAGACATGACAATGAGATGTGGATAATGGTTTGGCATTTTTATTACAGATATATAATTCCTTCATGTTATGAAATATTCGATATGTGTTAATGGGCCTTTTGTTATAGGGAAAAGTTCATATAGAACCGATTCTCTAAACAATCAAATTAGAGCCTACCTCAAAACGTTCACTAGAAGAGGTTTTTTTTATACCCAAATATCCTCAAATTGATCATCTAGACATCAATATGCATTGACATAAGAAAAAAATTGATTTCAAGTTTTGAAAATAGTATATTTTGCAACGCATTTTTGGAGAATCAATTTTCAAGATTTTCAAGTTTTCATAGATTTGTCGATGTACACTATTTTTGAAGCTTTAAATTTGAAAAATAATTATGAAAATATATTTTAAGGCTATCACAAAATCTCTAGTATTGAATCCACATTTCTAGACATGATTTGAAGGTACGCTATAATTTGATTGTTTAGAGCCTAGGCTCTATACAAACCACACCGTTTGTTATATTACTTACCACAAAATATAAAGGGATAAGTTTATATAGAGCCGAGGCTCTAAACAATCAAATTAGAGCCAACCTCAAAAAGTTTACTAGCAAAGGTTGTTTTGATGTCCAAATATCCTCCAATTGATCATCTCAGCGTCAAGATGCATGAACATGAGAAAAAAATGTATTTCAGGTTTTGAAAATAGTAATATTTTGTAACTCATTTTTGGACCATCAATTTTCAAGATTTTCAAGTTTTCATATATTTGTCGACCTACACTATTTTTAAAGCTAGATGAAAATATATTTTAAGGCTATCACAAAGATTTTCAATATTAAAACCACATTTCTCTATACTATTTGAAGGTAGGCTATAATATGATTGTTTAGAGCCTAGGCTCTATACAAACCGCGTCCAAATAAAAATACGTGTCGGTGCAGATAGTATGAAGTCTAGGTTTTGCAATAAAAATATAGTCGCACCTCAAAAAACACCCCACAACAAATACAATTTCCGGGAATGAAACTTCTATATTGACATGAAAATCTATTTTTACCCTGATTATGAGATTCGGGGCTTCAAACTGCACACCACACTCCATTTTTTAGAGCTAAAAATTCATTTAAAGCTATGCTTTAAAATGGCATATCTAACACTTAAAAAATGAACATTCTAAAGTAAGGTTGCAGTTTGTTTAGAGCCGAGGCTCTAAACATTCAATGTAAAACACACATTGAAATAGTCTCGAGAAATGTGGTTTCAATATTGGGAATCTTCGTGATAGCCTTAAAATATATTTTTATCTCTAATTATAAAATTTCAATATTAAAAGGTAGTGTGGATTGAGCAGATCTATGAAAACTTCAAAATCTTTAAAATTGACGGTCTAAAAATGCGCTATAAGATGCACTATTTCCAAAACTTGAAATCCATTTTTTTTTTCTCATGTCCGTACATCTTGAGGCCGAGATGATCAATTTGAGGATATTTGGGCATCAAACCAACCTCTTCTAGTGAAGTTTTTGATGTGTGCCCTAATTTGATTGTTTAGATCCTCACACTATATAAACTTTTTCCTTAAGTAATGCTTTACGTTATACTCTATTTGCCGGGCTTCAAACCTACTTTTTATGGTTTTCCACATCCATAATCCCCATTTGATGCTCAATCTTCTGATATACGTGCTGGTAATATCCACCGTCCATCACATGAAAAGGACAGTAAGTACCTCAAGATGTAGTATATCCAACACGCATCCAGTACAGCAATATTCGATAATAAAGATTAATCTCTGTTTTGGGGTTAATTAGAAGATCAATCACATTATTAAGTAAAAAACTTGGAAACCATTCAAATCAAATATAGTAAGTTATAACAAAGTGGATGGATAATGGTCTAATGCTCATTCATTGACTTATTATGGATTTACTTAGAGAGAAAGTTGGTATGAAAATCAAATTCATTTGAGAAGGACCTTGGCCTACTCCTGAAAAATGAAACAAAATGATATGAGCGGAGAGGAAAGGAGACGTAAGGGCCAGAAAGAGGAGCAGCCACGAAGAGAGACAAAGCGAGAAGTAGAGAGAGAAAGTTAGAAGTAGAGAGCGAGAGAGAGCGGCGACGGAAGAAACTCAAGGTCAGCTTCGCCTCCCCTTTTTAAATCTTTCTCATCCCTTTTTCATTTCTCCCATCTCCCCCTCTCTCTCTCTCTCTCTCATCACTGCT